TCCAGGAGGAGCCAGGGGACATGCTGCTCACACTTACCTTCTGGTTTGGAGGAGGAGGAATTTGATTTGGCGCAGCAAACTTCTGGTCCCTAATCTGCATCACACATGGCTAGCACCCTTGAAAAGGGATGTCTGCGTGGAAAAAATCAGCTGTCCTTCTGTGTGTTTCTGTAGGTTGAGTGAAGTACCAAAGGAAAAGCCCATACTGCCTTTTGGTCTCAGAAAGCTGCAAAGAGAGTGTGTCTCTCTGCTATCAACGATCAAGGAAACTGCCTCTCCTGAAAAAGAGGGTCTAGTTTTCTGTTAACTTCATGATGGTTCTGTTTATGGGGATGGGGAGGTAAACAGGGGAGGGTTGTGTACCTGTATGTTTTAACAGAGCTGCATTGCGGGGACCCCTTTGAGCACATTGCATTTTGAAAACTGTTTCCTGACCTTACGGTCTGCTGCCTTTATAACAGCTCATATGACATTGCCAAAGTAGTTGCAAAAAGTCTGCCTGTTAACCTCATAGCCTGGAAAGCTGGATGTATGAAACGGCTGTCTGAAGATATGCCTTCCAAGACCCTTGGCCAGGCCAAGTTTTCTGTAATTAAGATTGCTGTTGCCACAAGAACAGCAGATGTTTGCAGAACAGACAAACAACATCGATGATAAAGCAAATTGACCTTTTTTGGAACAAGCTATGTGGAGCACATTCCTTGGGCAATTTTTTTTTCATTTTTTTCTTTCTTTCCTTGGACAGTATCTTTCTTCATAAAACTGCTTGGCTATACGCTGACATGTCTATTGCTAGAGATGATAAAAAAATAAAAGAGAAGGGTTTACAAGAAGGGTTTACAAACCTTTCCACTAACACTGATACTACAAATCATTAAACCTAATCCAAACCTATTTTTGTCGGCTGTATTTTACTGAAGTAGTTATAATGATGTTTATTTTTCCAGTGTCCCTATGGGAACCCTGGAAGATTCCAAAATGTAGTAATTAAAGAATGACAGGCCTTTCCTTACAGTATAAAGTGAGGAAGAGTTTTGTGGTTTAAGCAGCTATGCTGTTGCTTGTTAACAGGATATTTTGCCTTGTACTCTAGCCAGGCCTATAATGGTCAAAAACTGTTGAAGCTGAGAACTACTTTGTTTTCAATCAGTTGTTTTTCAAATTAAAAGGCTGTAAAGGCTTGTTTTAATTTGTTCAGTAGTATTCGTCAGTCGTATTAATATTTGTATAAAATTAGTTGGTACAGTACAGCTGAGACTGTCCCAGTAAGGCAGTACATTTTGTTGTCACTTACTGTTTCTGCTGCAAGGCCTTTCTTTTAAGGTGTAAAAGATTAATTGAAAGTTTGGGGAATCTTTAGGAACTTGAGTAATATACTTCTGTTTAAATTACATTTTAAAGCTATTTAAAATGTAATATTAAACTTGTATTTTAATTGTATAATTAAATGTTTTGAAAAAAAATTTAAAGTAAAAATATAACTGCAGTTAAAATTTGAGTGTCGTATGGGTGCATCTTTACTATTTGGGCCTAAACCCAAGTTTTTTTAGTCACAAGTTGATGTTTCTGTAGTTATAACAAATGTTACTCCTGGTAGAGAATTGATTCCTGGCTTGTGAGGAATTTTAGAAAAATTGACAGAGTTCAAAATTTGGAACCTCTGAGATTTTTGAAGGATTTCATCTGTTGTACCACTAACATTAGAGGTGTGCTGTATTGCTTAGCAAGAGAAATATAAGACCCCATGTTTTTGCATTGTTTTTCAGATGTGATTTACAATGCTAATTTAAGGACTAGGACAAAGAAGCTTTATGGTGTTTTTTTTTTAGGTATTAAAAATACAGGTAACTTGTGTCTTGACTCAGTTTATAGAATTGCTTTGAGTAGAGTGCAGTAGGCTTTTGGACAAGGATTTTGTAGTGCCTTGAAGGGGTGCGTGTTAATATCAAAATTAAAAACTGAATTATGCATTATCTGTATACGTATTAGGGTTTGAGGTTTTTTTGCAGGACTAGTTCATAACATTAGAAAGAGAAAATACTGAATTCTAGGAGAACCCAAATGTGTTTTCTTACATGTGTCTAGATATAATTTGGTTGTTATGTGGGAGGGTTTACTTTTGGAGCTTTAGAAAACCAATTCCCATTTCTGTTTAGAACCATTATTTTCAACAGATTGTTCTGCAATATGATGCCTCTTGGAACTCTTCGCTGCAGATAAAGCTGTGCTAGTTCGATCAGCCTCTGTACAGATAGAAGTGGACTTAGATGGGTCACTGTACCATGAAAGCATACGTTTAAAAGGTTTTTATGGCTCCTCATGATGCATCTTTTTGTTTCTTTTACTTGATGCAAGTATATGATGGTCAGTGCCTTGTCTGTTACAAAAATTCTGTCCCTCTTTAATAGATGTGAAACTGTGGTGAAGTATCTGGAGCTGCTTGTTTAGGATCATTGGGAAAGGCAGCATTTGAGCCAGAAATTGAACTTAACATTTTCTGAGACCCGTTCCAGTCCTGTGTACGCTGATTTATACAACCTTCTTCTATGGGCAACTTTTATGAACCATATTTACTGAAGCTTCTGTTTTAGTAATAGCTTTCATTTGTGCAAAGTATTAAACATTATTTTAAAACAATTATTTTTAAAAGAACTTTTCCTGCTTAATTATTTAAAGTTATAGGTTTTTTCTTTTTTGCCAAAGGTTGTGTTACGTGTTTTTTGTAGTTGAGTTATCAGTAACTTGGAAGTTTTGCATGCATGCAGAGAGCATGTCTTAATGAACCAGGACTGGTTAGTTGTAGTGCTAAATGGGGCTGAAAGAGGGGAACAGTCCTCCTGATACTGTTCCATTGCAAAGAACACTGGGGTTACTTGGCTGGAATGCAAGACCTTATTTTGCTTACTGCTTTCAAATATGTTATAAAAGAAGGGAAAAAGAAGAGGGAAATGAAGCTTAACTTTATATACATGGGGTTTTTCCACTGAATGTGTTAATAATGTCTTGAGTACAACTGTTCTTGCTTCCAGAAGCCAAGAAATTACTACTAAGCGTCCCCCATCTTCAAGAATTGGTCTCCAAAAATATTGCATGATACATCATCTAGGCCAATATTGCCCTTCCAGTTATCATTCATCAGCATTTTGATTTCGTTGAAAACAATATTGTTTTGCTCTTTAACAGAGAAATTAATACTGTCCAAAATGAACTCATTATATTATACTTTGCTTTTGCAACCAGACTTAACAACATACAGCACAGTGCTATGAGCATGGAAGACTGTAGAAAAATATAGTCAGCTCAACTCTCTTTCTTTCTTTCTTTCTTTCTTTCTTTCTTTCTTTCTTTCTTTCTTTTTCTTTTAAACTATAAATGAAAAAAAAAAAAGTGAATGCAAGCTTGCTTTCCTAAACTTTTTCTCACAGCAGTTTTGGCTTAGTTCTTATGGGTCGTTACTTCTAGCTTTAAACTTCATTATATATCATTAGGGAATATAGGTATATAAGCAAAGTTGTCTGTTGTTCTCAGGGCTCTGATTGCATCTATTTTATGTTACTGTTACCTGTTGGGTTTTTTGGGGGGGGTTTGTGTGGGTGGCTTTTTTTTTCCTATTTACATGATTGATATTTTTGTTTTTTTCAGCCAAACCTTTTACATCTAAAGTGAAACAGATGCGACTACATAAAGAAGATTTTGAAATCCTGAAGGTGATTGGTCGAGGAGCCTTTGGGGAGGTATGTATGTGAGGGAGGTGGAAGGAAGGGTTTGAATAATGCTTCTGGAAATTTGCAGCGCTGAGGAGAGACAGTTAATAGCAATATACCAGTGTAGGGGTTTTTACATTATTTAGGCATAATGGACATTGTAGGCCCACCTGATATTTGATGCACATACATTTTGATTTATACATTCTTTGACAGCTCTTTTTAACTCTCTTAAATTTTGAGGGAAGGCAAGTTCACATGGATTAAGAGACCATGTTTCAACTGTCTGATGATAAATCATTTGCTTGACTGTAGTTCTTTCCAGTCAGCAGGTGGAGACCAGTAAGTTACTGATGGTATAAAGATCTAGTAGTTTCTAATAATCTTAATAACTGGATGGTCTGAAAGTATTTTTCAGCAAGTTAAATAGCCGAATATTGATATTGACGTTCTAAGAACAAAGAGAAATCTCTCTATTCCTGTCACTTCTTTTCCTATTTTTAATTAATATTTGAATATTTTTCCTGAATTTCTTTTAAAGAATTTAGGAAGTGTTAGTTTCTTTTTCAGTTGTCACCTGCTGCTATCGAACTACATGATTTTTTGATGCTTCTTATTAAACCATAAGGCTCAGAGCAACCTGTTCTAGTGGAAGGTGTCCCTGCCTATGGCAGGGGGGTTGGAACTAGGTGATCTTTAAGGTCCCAAACCATTCTATGATTCTACGATCTCTTATTTGAAGTCGTCAAGCAAGGCTGTTGATCACTATGTTTTACGCTAGCCATGCTACATTATGTAGGTTGGGGAAACTTGAATAAATAAACTTTAACTTTCTGCCCGTTCGTAATTATATTAAGTGCATACGCTTTGTTGTTCATGCAGGACACTACGTATGTAGAAAGAGCAACCTAATGCGTAACAGTGCCTTGAGTTTTTGGTGGCCAAATATACTACAGATGGATATACATACAGATAGTATGTAGAGCTTCCGCAGAAAGTACTTCATACTGCTGAAAATATGTGTGAACTGAAACCTGAAGTATAAGAAAAAGATTTTCTGAGCAATGTCTTCATTGCTTTTGGAACTGGAAATATGTTTGTTTTTTTCAGTTCTCCTTGGTATGAGAGCATCTCTGGAGGCTTTATGGCATGTGACAGAGAAGAATTGGTTTCAGGTTCACTTACATGTTTGCATTATGTGTGAAAATTAGTCTTTTCTAGTCTGTGGTTATGGAACAATAGAGGAAGCATGTGAGAAACAGGAATTTCTGCTGTAGCATATGTCACTCCATACTCTAATGATGCCTACATGCAAATGTCGTCATAGGGCAACTGTAAAAATAACAATAAAAGAGTAGTATTTATTTAGCTACTTTATCACTTTTAGCTGGGTTTGCTCATCTGCAGTAATGCTTTTTTATAAAGGAGACTGAAGCCTGAAGTTATTCATGGATAATTTATCTTTAGTCTGAACCTCCACCACAAAGAATGTTGCATTCTCTGTTTTGATGTAAACGCTTCCTCTTAAACCATTGGCTTTTCTCAGTGCTGCCACAGTAGTTGCAGCTGAGTTCATATACAGATTGTATAAGATGTAAGAAAAAATTACTAATGTGAGTGCTTTCTTGTGAGAAGAATCATCTGTGAAACCTGCCTTACATTGTGTTTTTAAGAGAAGACATTTTTGTCAGCTAAATCAGCATCCAACTCCACAGCAGTTTAACCACAAACAAACTGTAGCTCTTTCTCAGGAGGCTTCTTTATGATGAATCATCCCATGAATAGTGAGAGCGTAACTTTCCCCGTCCTCTTCTGAGGACAGTCTGTGTAATCGGTTAGTTCTCCTCTTTTAGAACACTGTTTCTTTCTAATTCCTTATCTGAGAAAGATAGCGTGACTCTACTTAACTGCCAAAATCTTTGGCAAGGGCAAAACTGATGTTCTCTCAGTGAAGGTGTTTGGTTTTGTATGTTATTAAAGTAGGACTTTCTAAATATTTCCAAGGATATATGTTAAATTTTCTTGCTAGTTTAAAGACAAGAAGTTTCAAGTCCTGCACAGACATTTGTCTAAAAAAGTCAGGTTCTGTATGAAATTACTAATTTCCCTTTAAAATAACCAGTAATTATCTGAGCAAGGTTGAAAAAAGGACCACCAAAATTTATTGCTACTTAAGCCACCAAAAACTATATTGATATTAAATTACAAAATACTTGCATGGTTCAGTAGGATTCAGTAGACTACAGTAGCTTACTGAGACAGATTAAGAAATCTGGAATGTATTTTCTTTCCAGCAAACTATAAATGAGACCAAGGTTGCCCTAGGTTTCTGGGAGGAGTAATTTTTGTCTCCTGAATCAACATAATTCTGAAATTCTGTAGACTACAAAGTTAGTGCAAGTTTTCTTTGGCACAGTGTCTGACTTGTTCTTATTTTGATTTTACACTACTCAATTTCTTCAATTTGCATAGTCAAGAAATATTTCCCTTTTTGTTTTTATAAGTTTGATGTAGACAAAAAGTAGTTTGAACTAGTTATTGCTTATAACTGTAAGAGTTCGTTGTTCATAGTTTTCTTTTTCCCTTACCCTGCTTGCTGCCAGTCTGAGAATGCTTCCTTTTTGTCAAATTAACAACAAGCCCTTTCCCTTTCCATACATGCATTTACTTATTTATAATTTTATCTAAGAGAGTGTTGTCTTTGGAAAACACAGATGTTTTGCTTGGAGGAGGAGTATTATCCTGGTAAAATTAATAATGTGGGCATCAAGTGTTTTCGTTGTGCTGGCTTTGGGCAGCATGGTTTGAAAGACTTAAAGAACTCTAAACAAGAAGATTTTGAACTTGGCAGTTGAAGGGTGCTGCTAGGAAAGGAGAAGGACCACTGTTGAGTCCTGTAGGCAACAGGTCTTACAGCATGTCTCTCAGCAGTATAAAAGTGCAGCTGATTGAAATTTCTAGCTAACACCAAAATTTTTAGCTCATTCTGTTATTGCTTTGTAAAAAAAAAAGAAGTTCTGTGCTTGCTTATGCAAGCAAATACTATGTTGTTATGCTGTTGATGTTTCAAAGATGATGAATTTTGTGGTCTTGAGAACTAGTTAGTCACTTCTAGATTTTGACATCCACTTAAGAGCAGCAACGTTCCCTCTCACTCCCTCAGTCCAGAGGTTGATGGTGTGAGCTAGGGCTTTGTAAGAAAAGCTGAAGGAGTGCTGTGCTTAGATTCCTTTAGTTTTGCAAGTGAGGTTAGGCTGTTAATTCCCTATGTGTCCCTTTGAAACTCAGTGCTTGTTTCTGGAGGGCAGCCTACTCCTGATGAACAAGAAAACCAATGCTAGTCCTATGGTTTTAAAAAAAAAATTTCTTCCTTTTTCTTTCTTTTTTTTTTTTTTTTTGTTGTTGTTGTTTGCTTGTTTTCCCCATTTTAATACTTACTGTTTTAGCTTTTTTCTGTATAAGGCTATTCCTTTTTAAGCAGAGGGAATTTGCAGACATGTACCGTAGAGACAAGTAACCAAGTTTGGGGCAGAAAGTGTCTGACAGTGTGCCAGACTGTACTGCTGTTTGTGGGAAATATGGAAAACTGTTGGAAGAATGGGGGGAAAAAATCTTACTAAACCAAGATGTTTACATCAGCAAATACCAATCATTTTTTGTTGGGCTGCTCACAGGAAAATATAAATTAAAAAAAAACCCCAAACCTTTAAAAGTTCAACTTGAAGAAATTCCACTAGCAAGACACTTCAGGATAACTAGACGGGGATGGTTACCCTTTCTTCTGTCTTGACAGCTTATTTGGGAAAGGGAGAACATCAAAACAGAACTGTGTGTATTTGGGCCTTTGTATACACAGTATGTACCTCTTAGTGTGTATGTAAACACAGCCTAAGTCTGTAATCCTATTTCAGAATTTTTTGTTTCAATTATAAACTTTATAATTCTGCTCATTGCTGAAGTGTCAGATTTTTCTTTCACCATCCCGAAATAAGCATTTTAGAATTTACTTTCATAAACCACTAAGACACTTCCAAAAAGATGCTGTCATTGCAGAAAAATTATGATGTTTTTGATCGTGTGTGTGTGTGGTGGTTATTGATATGTAATAACATTAATGGCTTTCACAGACTAAAGGACTGCTTCTGACTGATTGTAAACACAGCTGGTAACCATGAGTCTATTTTTGTTCTTTAGTCACTCTTCAATACTATTACACAGTCAAGACCAGGTTGGATGAGGCTTTGAGCAACCTGATCTAGTGGAAGGTGTCCCGGCCCATGGCAGGGGGGTTGGAACTAGGTGGCCTTTAAGGTCCCTTCCAACCTGAACTGTTCTGATTCTGTGATTCACGGAAGGTACCAAGCCCTCAATTGTGTCATGAAGCCCTGAGCTCCAGCAGTTAACCAAAGGGAGATCTGTAGCTCTTTTGGTCATGTGAAAGTGAATGCCGTATAGGACACACAAATCTGGGCAGCTGTACAATTAGTGTATGTCTTTTGATAGCTGAGTCTTTTGCAGAGTAACACAGCCTTTCACTGAGCATGCTACAGGCAAGAAATGAAATCCTGGAGTTGGACTTCAAGTACGTGGATTATCTTATGCCTCTGGCTGCTTATACTACAATGGTTAATAATGGGGAAAAACTTGCTTTTCATGCTGGACAGCCGCAGCAGTCTACTCAGCTCTAGGACCAACCTTTTAATTTTTCCCAGCAACTGTGGCAAAACTCTGAAAGATCTTTAGTGAAGAATTACATTGTAGCTTAATACCACACGCTATATCATGGGAAGGGAGTCACTGTCATCCAAGGTAGGATACCGTTTGAACACCGCCTAGTTTCAATGTGAAGCCTTTCTCCTCCTGCCATTTCTAATTAGAAATTGGTACAGATATGGCTTATCAGAGTTTCAAGCTGGCTTTAGCTAGTAAAGTAAAAGGAGGGTCAAGGTTCAAATCTTCATTGTGAGTTATGTATCACTGCAGAGGATTGATCTTTCCCTCCTACAGAAAATTGTCGTGCTCGGTCTTGGGGTACCATGCACAGGAGAGTTGACATTCTTTATGAATTAAAATTAGAGTATAGTCTAAAGTAACAATCTATTTTTGTGTTTCAAATCTGAAAGTACCTTGAGGGATCCCAATTCTGGACTTGAACCTCAATTTTTATGCATAAAGTAACCTTTAAAAATTTCAGTTCATAAACTAGTTTAAACAAGTAGATGTTGCACCTTTCTGGTTTTTCTCCTTTTTTCATTTTCCCCCCACCACCCCCGGTGGCCCCAAGAGTTAGCAGTTTCAAGAGCAGGGCTGATAATGTGTTGCTGCATATATGGGAAATCACATCTGCTTCAGCTATGAGTCTGTAGCTAAGCAGGAGGTATGCCTTTAGGTATGCTTTAGTTTAGACATCTGAGCATTGCAATCCTTCAACATGTGCTTTTGCTATGTTCATGAAGCTGCTGCAGCTGATGACACATTTGAAGATGGTTGAAAGAGGTTTACATGACACTTTCTTCAAACTGTCTGATCCTGCATTTTCTTTTCTGTTATCACTGTCTTTCCACATAGCTGGATTACTGATTATGAAAGAGGTGGAAGGAATGTAGGATTCAACCTTAGTATTTTTTTGTCACTGCTCTGCAGGATGAAGATGATGATAATCTGCATGACAGCATGTGTTTGTGACCAGATGCACACTTTTATCTCCTTAAGCCTTAACATTTATTTGAAAGGGAAGAGACAGAATGGGAGAGTTGGAGAATAGTTGCTAAAATGTATTGATTGCTGAACTTTTCTATAATTGGGGTGTGGTGTAGTGTAGTGTTCTGATCAGCAGCTGATTCTGTGGCAGATTCCTGGCCATTTTAGGTGAGACACTTAGCTTTCCATACCCAGAGAAGCCTGAACTGTGACAACGTTTGTGTAAACTTCTTCTCTCCCTCTTTCCTAAAAATGTTCCATGTTAGCTTTTATTATGGCTAAACAAAACTATAATATTCTCAGAAAAGGACTGTGTCAGTTGGCTTCGTTGATATATTTTTACATAGGCATATGGTATATTATGTTCCAGAAGCAATGAGAGGGAGGGAGCCTTGTGTTTCCTAATTTTTACTTCTCTAGAAAATGTGGATTTCACTGTTTCCCTGCCACTAATAACAGACATGATAAAGAGCTCATTGAACTTCAGGTGGAAAATTGTGAATTAGTACTTTACTATATCTTCGATGAAAGTCTAGTGCATTATTTGAAATGAGAGTGGAAGTTGTTTTATGGCAAACCTGCAGTTTAATTTTTGTCTAAAACCTAAAAGATTGTTTATTTTGTTTTAGAAACTACTACATTGTTGTCTTTTCTTGGTGGTTATGGAATTTATTGTGTAGGACTGGGAGGATAAATCCAAGAATATAAAGCATACAGCCAGTGATAGCTTTATGATAGTATGATAGAGCAAGAAGTGTGATGGTGAGAAATACCATTATTCATCTACAGTTACGTTGAAAAAATTATACATAATGAAAGCTTAAAATAGACTTGGAACTTTCGCAGAATGAATATCCTGTACTGTTGAGATGTTACTTTTTCTTGATGGTGATGGTATGGTATTGTGTGGAGAGTAAAGCTAAGTGTCCAGAACACTGAAGAAAAAAAAAACCTAAAACTACAAGGTTTAATAAAATTTATGACAATGTGCGTTTTCATGTTTTAACTTTCATTTAACTTTTCCAGGTTGCAGTAGTAAAACTGAAGAATGCGGATAAGGTTTTTGCCATGAAGATACTTAATAAATGGGAGATGCTGAAGAGAGCTGAAGTAAGATTACGGAAATTTTTTCTCTAGTCCTGTACCATCTTACTATGCTGAATTTTTACTTTTTTTTCCACAAGACTTTGTGTGTATATGGAGATTGAGAAGGTGCTTCCCTACTTATTGACAGTATGAAGATGAATATTAAAATAATATTCATTCAATAGTTCATCAGAAAGGGTTAAAATGGCATGGAATCGTGACTTAGTTGGGGCTGGATGTTTTAGACATTATACCTCTTCTGTAATTGCCCAGGAATTACCAACTGTACAAGCAATCTTTTAGTGCATTTATTCCAGCTAGGAATGTAGCATTTAGCAAGTATTTTCCATGGTGAAAGGTAATTACTGAGCTATAATTCAACAAGCCTATTAGTTTATCAGTAGTTAGAACTTAGTCAAGGTCCAATCTGTAGATTGAAAAATCAGGAAGATAAGTTTTCAAATTCACTTGAATGCATGTTTCATAAAAAATGTCCATCTGCAAAAATTTGTGATGGAAAGTTCCTCATTAAAGCTTGAGTCCGTTCTGTGTTCTGGAAAAGGTGGAACAGCTCTTTCAACAGCCCTGCTTTGCCTTGGGTTCCTATTTTCATTGTATGACTCCACTCTTCATAAAATCCTCAATATATTTCCCTGTATTCCTTTTGAAAGAAGCTTATAAAATGAAGTCTATGCCTGAAGACTTGTGTATTGATTTCAAACAGACCGAAACTCTAAATTGCTTTGAAGTTCTTCATGTATGCATACTAAAAATAAACTTCCTAAAAAATAGACTCATAAAAATGATAACTCAGTGTCTTACACATACAAAGTTGCTTTGGCTATTGAGTTTTCTTTAGTTTGGATAGTGCAAGTATTATCTTGGTGTCTCTTCCAACTTGCCTGATTGGATTATCTCTAACCTCAGTTTTTCTTTGAGCCTCCTTCTTTGCTACTTTTGGACTGCCTTGCTGTTCAGGTGATTCCAAGTTTATTCAGATTTCCACATTTATGTTTTAATTATGTCTTGTTAGGAAATTAGATCAATGGGAAACCATCACACTTTTGAAAAAAAAAATATGTATCCCGACAAATTAAAGCCAATTTCTGATGTGTGCACATCCTGTCTCTTTTAATGAAAATGTTATCACATTAAGAAGTATAAATGGCATGCTGATTGAGGTTAGATGTACAAAACATGTTTCTTCTTCATCCAGAAATTATTCAGATACTGAGCAATCTGGTATTAGTCTCAATACAAAGAGATGTTTCTCTCCAAATCAGATGTCACTACTGTAAGGTTTATTTCAGTGAAGAAGAAAAAAAAAAAAAAAAAAAAAAGACCAGAAATAAATTCCACTCTATTTTTAAATGTACCCTTTTAAAGTCAGTTTAAAAGCTATTTCTTTCCATTAAAATACAGTTATAAATAGGTTTGAAAGTTTCTTCTCTATGCAAGGTATTAAGAATACTCTTCCCATGGGTCCAGCTGAATTTCTGGAAGTCTGAACCGTTAGCCTAAAAAGAATTAGAACTATGTTTTTCCATGTATTTGTAACCCATGGGTATACAGTGAAAAGAGAACCATCTGGAGTGAAAATGCATTACAAAGCATGACCTTCAACAACTGTAACCTGTCATTTTTAAATGTTGATGAACACATCTCACTTGTTACTACTGCTAGGGAAAATGACCCATTTTGTGTGTGTTAGCAATGTGCTGCACCAACACTGAAATACGCAGGAAAATCATACAGTCCAGCAATGCGAGACAAGCATGTAGGTAGGTGTATACGTAACTGGCAGAAATAAGGTGTTCATATATCCCTGTATCAATTCTGTGGGAAGTGGGAGTCATTTTCAAAAACGGAAACTCTTAAGAAGCTTGCGAATGCCAGATTAAGGTTGATGACTGCAAGCTTGAGAGTAACTGTATGCAGAAACGTTGTTACAATGAAATTATACAGGTTGCAAGATCAGTGTTCTCCTTGGTGTCATAAAGAGCAGAAGTTTTCCAAATACTGGCCACTGTTGAAAACTTCTGAGATGTGATGTAGGATCAGGGACATTACTGATACAAGGAGTACCTGAAAGTGTGTGACAGCTTGCTATTACACTCCTGGACCTGTTCGCCTGAGTGTTGACAGTCACTTCGAGTTACATGTGTGCCACAGTGATGCCAGATGAGGCTCAGGGGAGACTAGGACAAATATTATGCAGCATGGAAGCAGTCAGCACTCCCAGAAGGTGCTAACTCTGAGCTGTAAGGACATGAGCACTAAATAGCCAAGCAGCCCAAATTCTTGGCTGGTTGAAGGCTGTGATAACAGTATAGATACAACCAAAGCCCTAAGTTGGCTTTGCTGTGCCAGAGATTTGGATCAGATGACCTCTGGAAGTCTCTGGCAACAATTCAAGGACACTGTACCTAGGGAAGATGAGGTGCAATGGTGAAATAATGAAAGACACAAAAAAAAAAGCTTCATTCGAATTTTTTTTTTTTTTTTTTTTTTGCCATGAATTAATGTAAAGCCCATGAACCACTTCATCTCTTTGACTGTTACTGTCTCAACTGTGATCTACTGTGGTAATAGCTGCTGCTGTCAGTTCTAGGCGTACTGCCCAGAGGTGGGTGTCAAGAGTGCTCAAGGAATGCACGGTCTTTTATTAAATCATGGCAAAAACAAGTGGAATGATATAAACTCTCTGTGGTAACTAATCCTGTGAATTGTGTCATAACAAGTAGGGAAGCTACCTGTCATTTATCCTTGTGAAAACAAGAGTTCATAGTCTATCTGAAGTGTGTCAAGAGTTTACAAACAAGGAAGGAAAAAATCAAGCTGAAGCATGGAACAGCTTTTCTTCATTCTGAAGATCATCCTTTCTCTTTCTCCTACACCAAAGTGTATTTTTCATTTAATAACCTTGAAGGGAAATTGTTTAAAGTATGCTGTGTTATTTTTTCAAATTTCTGTGATTTATCTCATGCATTGTGCTATGTTTAAAGCATACCATCTTTGCATTATTCTTAGTCACTGTGTTCACCAAAACAAGAGTTGGTATGGCTTATTTGCTTGGAGGAGGGAGTTATTTTCTCCTTTGTTTTTACTGCATGTATTCTTGTGCTTTGCTCAATCTAAAATGATATTTTGCTTTTCGTTCTTCCCTCTACAAATCTCACAGCCAACAATAACCATGTCAGAGTTCTGGTATTTGCCTATTGTTTTTGGAAATGAAATTGGAAAAGTAAGACAAAAAGGCTTGATTTTTCCTTTAAATTTAGCTGTCTCCTGAGATGGAAGAGACAGAGTGTGGTTCAAATTGATGAAACATCTTTGTGAAGTAGCAGAGTGTGCTGGAAGAGATTATGGTCTATGTTTTTCTCTAACTCTCCATCTGCCTTCTAAATAGAGCCCATACAATTACTACTCTTTCTACACTATCTTTTAGACACTCTTCTGAACAAATTTGTAGTTGGCTTTGCTGTTTGCTACCTTTTCCTTTCTTGTGATACTCACTTCAGAACTCAGTCCCTTGAAAATGTTGTATCGTCTTTCTTTGCTATAGTTTCTTTTTGACTTCTCATCTGTTTGGTCATTTTCCTGTGTTATTTTGCAAAACGACTTTTGCTGAGGTATTTTATTCAGTTCTTGGGGCAGGTTGCAAGACCTCCATTGAATTAACTGCCTTGCTGCTTTCCAGGTGATCATTTTATTCAGATTTTATCTTCTATTGTTTTATACAAACCTGTTTCATACAAACATTCTCCAGCTTCTCTTAGGTATCCTTTAGCATTTCCTGACAGTTCATGTTCCTCCTCTGTTTCACTTGCTGTGAAGCCACCTTTTGTCTCCTGTGTTTCTTTCCAGTATATTGAGGGGAGATCCTCGGGAATGTCTTATGTCTGATGAGCAATATTCAATTCTGTCCTGCTTGTCTTGAGCAAAAAGTGTTGAGAAACCTCTGACTGGTTAATGATTGTCAAATCATGACTACACGGGAGTTATTGTCAGCTACTTTCAAATCGAAAGAAGAACCTTGCTTATGTGAAAATTCAAGTGTAAACTAGGCTAACAGCATGAGGAGATAAAACAATGACACAAGACTCCAGAATCTAGTTCTGTAACTCCTGTTGCAGTTACATAATGTAATTTTTGATTGTTTTCTTCAATCTTATATTGCTATTCTGTCATTAATGATACTTGATTTCAATATATGTATAAAAAAGATAAGATTTTGACTCGGGGTTTTTAGACAATGGGAAACAGCAGTTTATTTCTCCCTTTGTATCTCTTAGTGATATAGAGAAGTACAAATGTTTAAATTTAAAGAAGGTGGACTTTCTTGATACCTAGTTTTTAATAGATTTTGGGGTGTTTGGAGAGTGTAGCAAATGATTTTTTACTTCTGACACCATTTTGAATTTTTTTCCCCAAAACATAGTGTTAAAACATAGGCAACTTGCAAACTGTGTCTCTTTATAGATTTTACTTAAAGCCTATAATTATTTTTCTCCCCCTCAGACTGCCTGTTTTCGAGAAGAGAGAGATGTGTTAGTGAATGGAGACAACCAGTGGATCACAACATTACATTATGCATTCCAGGATGAAAACTATTTAGTGAGTGTTGCTTTTATTTATTTATTGATAGAAATGCAGATTCTTAGTTGTGGTTTGAGAAAGAAATATGGTTTTTTATTTGTTAGGTTTGTGTTCTGGACCACAGAGACCATGTGAGCTTCTGTGATTGTGCATAAGATTCTGAAGGGTAGAGAGTGGTCAGAAACTTTTCAAGTTTTGCTATAAGTGTCTCAGGAATGCAGCTTTATTTTCTAAACCATTTTGCATTTGTTGATAAAATTTGGTTTATCTGCATTTTTTTTCTTATAATTTGTCACTTCAGTTTAATTGGGTTGATAAAAATAAAAATGCACTTACTACTTCTATTTGAATGTAATTTTTGTGATTAATGTTGCTGATTATTGTTTTACAGTTAGAAATAGGGAATAGCCTCGTTTTGAAACAACAGTTCATTTTGACTGGTCTTTAGTTTTTTGAGGACTTAAACCTGCTAAGATGTCATAAAGCAATAAAATGTTATTGGATCATGGAAGAATGCCACTAAATGTTCATAAATAAGACTTGGAAGCTGTGTCTCTTTAATACTTTAATACTTAACGTTATTTAGTTTACAAGTATTTTGAAAGATTTGCAAAAATAAGCTAATATGAGGAAAGA